AATATAGTTTTTCACGGCTCTGGGTGCAAGCCCTTTTAAGCCAGTCTTTGAAGTCCGTTGAACTTTTGTTTGAATTTGAGACATCACATCTGTGTTTGACACTTCACTTCACTGAGTTCACTGCACTGATGATTCCAACTGATTCACTGATTTTCTCTTCTCAAATAGTTCCCAGAGTTGAAACCACGAAAGTATATAAGGGTTTGAAAAGTTTCGGATCTTTCAGGAGCTCGTCCAACGACTCTGGTACACGTTCACAAATAGATAAAAAAAAAAAAAAAACCCCTCAGGAAATGGCGAAATTTTTTTGTATGGAAATAAACGCGCGCTGCTACTCCTGTTATTTCTGCTCTCTGGATATGTGAGCTTGTATCTGTTCTGTATTCAAATATTACATGTGTGAATGTGTCTTGCCTCAACTTTTGCAGCGCGACCTACTTATTTTAAATTGAACATCAAATCAGACATTCATTTTTCATGATGCAGTATCCTAGTTCCTGTTATACAATTAAATTACAAATAAAGTGAGGATGGATAGATGTTTTAATTTCCCTTTTACTTCATAAGTACTGAATGGATTTTGAAGAATGTTTTCTTTACACTTTTATCTTCAGGATATTTTTATAACATTTGTGCTACAATTTATAATTTTATAACGATCTGTGACTAACTGAATTTCATACAGGCAGTTAGTTTTGATAAAATAACGAGTTGCCACTGGTTGGTCTGAAAATGCCTGGCTGGTCTTATTTTTTCATAGGTCAATGGATTTTTTTGACAGTATTGACAAATAGTTTGACAGTCATGGCTCACATTTCTTTTTTGTGACGTGCCCAACACGACGACTCGGATCGTTTTCGGCTAGTTGAACAATTTGTGCACTGTTTGCGTTTCACATGATAGAAATTACAAAATATAGAGAAGCAGGACACTATATTACTGGTATTGTGACCTAAAACCTACAGGCTAAACAGAATGGGTAAGGCTAAAAAAGGAAAGAAGAATCAGACCGCTGACGATGGGTAAGTGTCTCCAGTAGCATATGTTTTTGGATATATATTCAAATATTACTGTAATGCTATGGCTCTCTTTACTATTTTTTAGGGACAGCGACGTCGAAACTACTAATATTGACAACGTAAAGCCCACACAGCAGAGTAAAAAGTAAGTACAAGACATTTGTAGGTTAGGCACATAAAAATTGTATTTTTCCATATTATTCAGTAATTTATATTGCATCTAATTATTGCCTAAATTATTATAAATTGATAATTATTTATTTACATAAATTTGACCTAGGCAAAAAAATATTATCTATGAATATAGGTATTATGAAAATTCAATGAATTGTTAGAATATTTCAGGATCTATGCAAAGTGAGCAAGCTTATTTCATAACAGGGTTCGAAATTATCCGATAATTATCTGATAATTAATAACATTATAGGATACATTTGTCATATTGTTTCATAAGAAATTCTGATTGCGAATGTTGCTTTAATGTTTTTGGTTGCCGATTGTTGTCAAGTTATCCAACACTAGACGCAAGTGCGGAAATACACGTTCGAAAACTTCGAATTCAGTTCATTTTAATGAGCGCATTTTTTTGTTATTATCAACCTATAATTATCCATCTGTTATTATCACGATAATTATCATGATAATTAACCTTTCGAACCCTGTTTCATAATAATTAGCAATCATTACAATTCCAGGAAAATCGTGGAGTCCGATGACAGTGAAGAGGAAAAGCCGAAATCTAAGGCAAAGCATAAAAAGTCTGTCGATGAGGATATAAAAGAAGTCACAAAAAATATAAAAAATGTATCAATTTCAAGTAAAAATCAAAAGAAGAAAGTCGAAAGTGAAGGTAATTTTAAATTAACTATACCAAAATCGGCTAAATATCTCCTATCTTGAAATCTTGTATCCTATTCCTGGCTTCTAGTTATTACAGTTGTAAAAGTTAAAAAGTAATCATTTAATCTTAAATTTAGTAGTTTTCTAAATGTATAAGTAAAAAAAAAAATTGAAATCAGTTTTTTTATTTATTGCCAATAATACCTATTTGTTTAGATGAGTCAGATGAGGAGCCTGAGCAAAAGCCTAAGAAAAAAGGCAAAAAGGATGAAAAGAAGAGTGCCTTTTCACTCCTAGAGATTGAAGACGGAGATGACTCAGGGCCAGAAGCACCTCCTTCATCGGACGATGATAAGCCAGTCCAGAAGTCACAAAAGAAACCCACCCAAGAAAAAAAAGAACCAGCTGGCAAAAAGGGTAAAAAAGCTAAAAGGAAGAAGGATGACAGTGATGATGATTTAGAAAAAGTTCTTGCTGAGTTGGAAATGGAGTACGCTGGAGTCAAAACTGAACCGGCTGCTGCTCCTGCAGCAACGGAAGTAGCAAAGGAAGCAGAGGTGGCGGAAGAAAAACCAAAAGCAAAGAAGAAAGGCAAGAAAGAAGAGCCAAAAGAAGAAACACCTAAAGACACCGAGGAAAAAGAAGGCAGCGATAATGAAAACGATGTGACAATAAAATCGGCTGCTCAGAAAAAGAAAGAAAAAAAAGAGAGAGAAAAGCAAAAGAAACTGGAGGCCAAGAAAAAGGAGAAAGAGCAAGAGCCTAAAAAAGCCGTTGATGCTAAAGCACCTGAAAAAGTAGAAAGCAAACCTGAAGAAACAAAAGAGGAGGTAAAAGCACCTTCGGAAGAAAAAGAGGCTGAGGGAGATGTCCCAGCCACAGAAGGAAAGAAAAAGAAGAAAGGTGAAAAGGCTGATAAAGATGATAAAGGAAAGAAGGGGCCGACTAAAAAAACAATTGCTGCGATGCAAGAGGCCCTCAAGAAGGTCAAAGAAGAAGAAGAGCGCATGAAGAAAGAAGAAGAAGAAAGGCTGAAACAGGAGGAAGAACGTGAACGCCAAAGGTTAGAAGCGATAAGGTTAGAAAAGGAACGTAAAGAGATAAAGAAACAAAAGGAAAAAGAGAGAAAACTAAGACTTAAGGCGGAGGGTAAATTACTCACGCCTAAACAGAAGGCTGAGAAAGCTAGGGCGCAGGCTTTGTTAGATTCACTTAAAGCACAAGGTATTGAAATTGGTTCCGCTGAGAAGAAACCACCGAGGCCTGGGACTAGGATCAAGCCACAAAGGCTGAAGAGTCAAATGTCCCAGGAGGCACCCGCCACACCTGTAGAAGAAAAGAAGATTGAATTAGAAATCGTTGATAAGAAAAAGGTAGCTATACTTTCTAGATTTTTAAATAACATTTTACTCAAACTCAAACATTTTATTTGCCATTAAGGAGGGTACAGGTACAGATGGAATACAGGAAAAAGCTCCTTATCCTACTCAGCCAATTACATATTGCAACTCATAAGCCCCAATAAGTTATTAACATACTTTAATTTTAATTCATAGGAGGACACAAAACCTGAAGAAAAGAAGAAAGAATCTGATGATGAGTCAGTGAAGGATGCGTGGGATGCTGAATCATCAGAGGATGAAGCAGAAAAAGCAGAACCTGAGCCAGTTACACCTGTAAAAGAAGAGAAGCGAGCTTCACCTGAAGATGATAAGTCTAAGGAGGTATGTTAATTTTACTTTTTAATAAATAAACTTCATCGGCTGCTCTGCCATATAGTTTTGTGAATTTTTTTTTTAATAATTAATGTGTAAATTGTGATGTGAAATATTTCTAGAAAGAGGACGATGATGAGAGTTCGGAAGAAGATGATGACAGCTCAGATGAAGATGATGACAGCTCTGAAGAAGATTCCGATGATGATCAGATGACTGACGCCCAGAAGAAGAGGGAGGTCATTTTGAAGAGATTAGAGGTAGGTGAAATTATGCACAAGTCAAGGTAAATGTCTTTTCAGATACAAATTATATTTTTGTCCCTCTCGCATGTCATATATTTATCCTACATCTGTGTGTTAAATCACATTTTATGTACTCCTATCTCTCCTAGGATCTTACCACTTACAAGGGTAACTCACATACTTTTTATAAGTTGTCAAAACGCAACTTTCATGTACAGTTTTTGTCTAAGTTATTAATAGTAGGCAAACTCGTATTATTTCTTGATTTCATCAAATTGAAGATTAGCTCGGTTGTCAGAGTTAGAATGAACTGGCTGGCTGGGCTGCACCATCTTACTTTAACTTTGACAAACGTCAAAAATCTGTCAAATTCCATACAAAAAGCACCGGCTATCGTCATAATTACCGTTAAAGTTAGGTGATGCAACTCAGCCTAAATGATTTAATGGTGCGTCCACACTGGGCGAACGGGCTCGCGCGGCAAACTCGCAGGATGTCGAGTTTGCCGCGCGAGCCCGTTCGCCCAGTGTGGACGCACCATAAGCTTATCTTTAAATATCAACCTTCACCAGAAACGTCGCGAAGAGAACGAAGCGAACAAGACCAACAATCCGCTTCGCGCGGCCGTGGTATGCGTCCTAGGCCACGTGGACACCGGCAAGACGAAGATCCTTGACAAACTTCGGCGCACTAACGTGCAAGATGGCGAGGCGGGAGGAATCACGCAGCAGATCGGTGCCACTAACGTCCCGATTGAGAATATTAAGGAGCAGACCAAGCATGTTAAAGGGGTAAGTTATCTTCTAAAGCCTGGTCCGTGGGCACGTAGAATTTTGTCCAATGACCCCAAGCTACCCATCCTTATCGCTCGCGCGTAATTATGCGCTCGCACACTCACTGCGGGCGCCCATCGCACAGTCGCGACAGCAATATAATTACGCGCGAGCGATAAGGATGGGTAGCTTGGGGTCATTGGACAAAATTCTACGTGCTCACGGACCAGGCTTTATTCATGTACTCATCATTATGAATATCAGGTACCTTTAAGCTCATAGCACACATAACAACCTGGAAAGGAATCAACACCGTAAGTATCGCCTTTCGGCGCGCTGATATGTGTTCGTTGCAGTCGGAGTTTCATACAAAGAACACTGACCGCCTCGAGTTGATACGGTTACGACGATCCGTTTCCGGGTTGAAAAGTGTGCTTCGTCCTTTAGCGTCCACTGCAGGAGGAGGACTGTCCCTCACTTCATTATTCACTCATTTTCATATTTCATTGTCATACTATTCCTATTCAATTTAGCTTTTTAGTTACAATAAAATCTAAATATGCTCATGGCTAGGAAAAATATAAAATGTTATGAGGATAAGATGCATCAATTAGTTGAATCCAAACATGATATAGTTTTAGGGTGCTTTTTGTTTCGATTAGTGATATTATGCACTAGATACACTCGACAGCAAATAAATCGCACCACCCGCGACAAGCACTTTCAAACGTATGCATCCCCACTTCACACCAATATTGGTACCATTCAAAAGCCTAGTTCTAAACTTCATTTCATTATAGGAAAGGTTTTTACCCCAAAAATGTTTCTTTAGAAGGATCCAGAGTCACTTCTTCAAAAAATAGATAGTTTCGCTTGAGCCAACTTTTATGGCTATAAAACTGTTAAGTTGGGATTAATCGCTATCCATCTGTTAAAGAGGACACGTGTGATCATTATTTGGTTTTATAACCATAAAATTTGGTCTAATTGATCCCAGAGGTGAGCCCAAAGTGAGGTCTTTCTTCAAGTCACATTTATGGTATATGTTAATCATTTATTAAGAAATTAAATGTGTTTTTCTTTAACCTCTTACCTACGGGAGGCACCTATAGTTGCCAAGTCAAAAGTCACTTCTCAATACGGGTGGCATCTATTGTTATTTTGGCAAAGCCAATACTAAATCACGGTTTACGACAAAAAAACAATAAAATTGCAAATTAAGTGTAAAATGCGCTTGTAATTATGAAACTACGTTAGTTGCAGAATATAATATTCCAAATTTCAATACCGTAAGTCTCATACTTTTTAAAATATCTTGATGTAAAGTGGAGCAAACAATTTTATAGGTTAAAATACCCCGTATTGAGAGGCGACTTTGGGTTTCCAAGGGCCCGTAGGTAAAGGGTTAAGGATATTTATTGGGCTTTCAAATAACACCAATATTGTTGGGGCACCATTATTGTGTCAAAAGAAAATCTTTAAAGTTCGCGTCGCGGGTGGTGCGATTTATTTGCTGTCGAGTGTACTTTTTTTATAATGTACCTATTATATTTTGTAATATTGTTGCAGGTATCTGAAATAGCCTTCAAATTGCCGGGTCTTCTCATCATTGACACGCCCGGGCACGAGTCCTTCAGTAACTTGAGAAACAGAGGATCTTCACTTTGTGATATTGCCATTCTTGTAAGTATTTAATAGGTACTTTAAATAACAATTCTTAATAGTTCTTAATAGGAGTTGACTTAACTTGTTTCCTGGGCAAAAAAAGCAAGAGTTTGATTTGTTCCGTCATTTAATTTAACACTCAACACATATTTTTAACTTTTTCGAACTAATGAAAATAGAAAGAGAGAGAGCTAAATTTCAAAAGAAGAGGCCCGTGACGTCAAGGCGTGGTTAAAAATGTAGCACATTGTGACGTCACGCGGAACTTCAACGCATCATAACTTTGTAATAACTTGATTGATTGGCAAATAAAAATATACGTGTCCAATATTTTTTGATAATATAGTTGACAGACCAAAAGTTTTTTTTTAATCTGGCCTATTGCCCAATTTATAATAACTAAACTTATACATTTCAGGTCGTAGATATTATGCACGGTCTCGAGCCTCAGACTATAGAATCCATCAACATGTTGAAACAAAAGAAGACGCCGTTTATCGTGGCTTTGAACAAGATAGACCGTCTGTACGACTGGCAGAGCGCACAGCGTAAAGACGTGAGGGATATCTTGAAGATGCAGCAGCCTAACACACAGCTGGAGTTTGAGAAGAGGAGCAAGGATGTCATGCTGCAGTTCGCTGAACAGGTAAGTTTGGTTGTAAATCACTCACTTTCTCTGGAATCTGAAATATTTTTTTTCTTTCGTGCGAGTTTTCAAAAAATTCTGTCAATTTTACGCATCCTATTGTAACCTATCTAAAGCCCGGTCCGTGAGCACGTAGAATTTTGTCCAATGACCCCTAGCTACCCATCCTTATCGCTCGCGCGTTAATTATATTGCTGTCGCGACTGTGCGACTGGCACCCGCAGTGAGTGTGCGAGCGGGATAGCAACATAATTACGCGCGAGCGATAAGGATGGGTAGCTTGGGGTCATTGGACAAAATTCTACGTGCTCACGGACCAGACTATATAATAGGATGTGTAAAAGTGTCCGAATTTTTTGCAAAAGAAAAAAAATAGATTTTAGAGAGAGTGAGTGATGTTGTTTTCAGTACTCTACCAAATCAAAAACAGTAGTTGACGAATTTTCTTATGAATTATTTGCAGTCATTTTAGGACACATAAAACAGTGTTCTGGTTACAACAGACTGTTGCATCCAAAAAAGTTTATGCAATTTCTAAACATCTTAGGGTGGGTTGCACCATCTAACTTTAGCTTTGATAAACGTCAAAAATCTGTCAAACTCCACACAAAAAACACCGGTTATCGTCATAGTTACGGTCAAAGTTAGATGGTGCAACACAGCCTTAAACTTACATAAATAAAGCATGTATGATAAACTGTTCATATTCTGAACACTTGTCTTTTTTCGCAGGGTTTGAATGCAGCTCTGTTCTACGAGAACCCGGACCCTCGCACCTACGTGTCCCTGGTTCCTACTTCAGCGGTCACGGGCGAAGGCATGGGCAACTTACTGGCCATGATCGTGCAAGCCTGTGAGGGCCCGCTGCACAAACGGCTGGTGTTCTCGCACCAGCTGTTAGCTACCGTGCTCGAGGTACGACTTTTGTTGTGATACTTGTCCGAAAAAACGTTGCATTGGCCTCACGCGAAAGCGACGCAAGCGCTGCGTAGATCCGGCGCTAGGCAACTGCTGGATGCTGAGCTAGCGCTAATTTGACGCTGCGCAGGCGCTGGCGAGACGACGACGTTCGGAAGAAGCTAGTGCATTCAATAATTTACTTAGCTTGAATCCTCCGAGTCTCTCTGTCTAGATCTCGGTGTTGTTTACAGTGCTCGCCTCATTTTTATGAAGCTCTACGACTTGGGAGTTTTTTTTCAGAGCTTGAGTTTTGGTTCGAGCTGTTTTGAGATTTCAAGGCTTTTTCAGGACTCAAGTCTTTTTGAGCGCACTAGTCTTGTTCTACGCTTTAGTAGTGATGAGCTGTTGATGAATGAGGACATGTAGAGTAAAGCACAATAGATTAAGAGCATCTACGGTGCTCTTTATAACATAATACATTCTTTAATCTTTCGAGTTCTAATTTAGTTTTTTTTAATGTACGGCTCGCGTTAATTTTGAGACTCGAGCTCTTTTGAAGTCTCGAACTCTCTTAGGCTAGGGTGTACGAGCCTGCCTACTAAGTACTACTCACTGAGCCCTGCCAAGTCACCTCGAGACTGCAAAAATAGAACTCGACGCTTCGAATTTTGTACTTCACTTACAATAACCGGTAAAATATTGTTATTCTATCTGTACCAGGTGAAAGCGATCCCCGGGCTGGGCACAACGATCGACACGATCCTGATCAACGGAACCCTTCACGAAGGCGACACCATGGTGCTGGCTGGTACAGATGGGCCCATCGTCACGCAGATACGATCTCTTTTGATGCCGCAGCCTATGAAGGAATTGCGCGTCAAGGTATTGTAAACCAAAGGTCCTTAAACTTTAGGTCTAAATCGGATCCCCCAGGCTGCCACGACAAGCGACACGATCCTGATCAACGGAACCCTTCACGAAGGCGACACTGGTGCTGGGTGGAACAGACGGGCCCATCGTCACGCAGATACGATCTCTTTTGATGCCGCAGCCTATGAAGGAATTGCGCGTCAAGGTATTTTAATCCAAAGGTCCTTAAACTTTAGGTCTAAATTGGATCCCCCAGCCTTCCACGACAAGCGATACGATCCTGATCAACGGAACCCTTCACGAAGGCGACACCATGGTGCTGGCTGGAACAGACGGGCCCATCGTCACGCAGATACGATCTCTTCTGATGCCGCAGCCTATGAAGGAATTGCGCGTCAAGGTATTTTAAACCTAAAGTCCTTAAACTTTAGGTCGAAATCGGGTCGCTTAAGGTATCGTAGGACTAGAGCTTCTCAAATTGTATTCAACAGAGCGCTGCGCGAGTGTCAGACGATTAAAGTCTCATAGATCATCAAGATCATCTTTTTGCCATTGGTTCTCAACATTGTACGTCATTGGTTATTCCAATTTGTATACTATTAATTTATCTCGAGAAGCCAACAGGATCAATAGTAATGGAAAAAGCCTAAATACTGCCATCAAGCCAACACCAGCTAGTCAGAAAATACCAGAGTTCTGACTTCACTATACTATTCATTTGCGTATGTTAACATAGGCTAATGTCGACTTGATATACCATTTACCTAACACCCTGTATAGTATGAACCTTTTGAGACACACATTTCTAACTTTTTTGTTTAGAACGCGTACATTGAGCACAAAGAAGTGGTGGGCGCTCAAGGAGTGAAGATTGCAGCTAAGGAGTTGGAAAAGGCTATTGCTGGTCTCAACCTTCTGGTGGCACAAAAACCTGATGAAGTGGACGTGCTCAAGTAAGTCATATAATATTCTGCAAATAGTATTTTAGTTATATTGTCTTGTTGGAGATAATGCATAGCTTCTAGTTTAGAATCGGATATGAAAATTACGACCTCTAAAATACGGGAAGAGTAGGGATGGTCCAATCTGCTGGAACCATTACTAGTAACTGAGTCATATCGAATTTTGCTCACACTTTCCACGCTAGCCAGATGGCCTGATGTATGCATATTTTGTCCCTTACTCGTCCTTTACCACCTTTTCGAGAAGAATGGGAGTGGTCATGTTTTGTCTGGCTTTTGAATTTTGGATCATATCTCTTTGATTTAAGGTCCAACTAAAGCCTGGTCCGTGAGCACGTAGAATCCCGTCCAATGACCCCAAGCTACCCATCCTTATCGCTCGCGCGTAATTATATTGCTGTCGCGACTGTGCGACGCGCGCCTGCAGTGAGTGTGCGAGCGCGACAGCAATATAATTACGTGCGAGTGACAAGGATGGGCAGCTTGGGGTCATTGGACGGGATTCTACGTGCTCACGGACCAGGCTTTAGCCATGCCATTAGTTGTTTCTTTGCCAGAAGAGAGAGATCTTATTCTGTCTGGCTTTTGAATTTTGGACCATATCTTTTTGATATAAGGTCCAACTGGCCTTGCCCATAAGTTGTTGGTTTTCCAGCAGGGAGGAGTCCTATTCTATCTGAATATTGAATTCTAAACTAATCTCTTTAATTTAAGGTCCAACTTGTTTTTTTGTCTGCAGAGAGGGATCCTATTTTGCCTGGCTTTTGATATTGGACCATATTCCCTAGTTTTAAGGTTCATACAGCTAAGGCTAATACAGTGATGTATCTTTATTCTTTGCCTACAGAGAGGAGGCCCGTCTTATTATATCTGGCTTTTGAATTTGGCCTATCTATACCTTTTATTTAAGGTCCAACGATCCATATTGTCTATTACTTGTTTCTTCCCTATTTTGTCTTGGTTTTGAATTATGGACCATATCTTTTTAACTTAAGGTCCAACTAGCTATACTTATGTTTCTTTGCCCGCATAGAGGGATCCCATCCTGACTGGCTTTTGAATATTGGACCATATTCCCTAGCTTTAAGGTTCAACTACGGCTATTACAGCGATGTATCTTTGCCTACAGAGAGGAGGTGGCGCGCGAGCTGAAGTCGGCCCTGTCGTCGATCAAGCTGACGGAGCGCGGCGTGTACGTGCAGGCATCTACACTCGGCTCGCTTGAAGCGCTGCTGGAGTTCCTTAGGACTAGCAAGATCCCGGTATGTGACGTCATCTTTTTGACCGACTTAAAAAAGGAATAAGAATACTTAACAGCATAAAAATAAAATACAGTACATAACATCAAACTACAAGCTATGCTGAAGAGGCGTCCGCTATGTGCGTATGCGCTATATGCGTATGTTCGTATCAGCGTTGCCAGTTTTTTTTTTCGCCAAGTCGGGACTTTAGTACTTTTTGAGTGAAAATAGCGGGATTCTTCCGTCCGAAGCGGGACATAGTAAAAAAACGTAATCAAAGGTTTTCAAATATTTGTCTTTTTATTTGACTTAAAATTACGTTTACGTGACAATATATAGCAAAAGTAGCCATAGAAAATGTATTTTAACAAAAAAATAGTATTTTAAATCAGTACGGCTAGCACGAAAAACTTTCGAGTTCAAATCGTTTGCGTACTCGAATCGCCATCAAAAAATTTAGTACGAAAACTATGTACAACAGCGCCCTTGTGAACGTGTCGTTAAGTGAACTTAGTGTAAGAAATGGTTGCACGAAACTTATTTTGAGAATCAAAATTGTCACGTTATCGTTTAATTCGAAGGTTGAGTATCGAATTTTATCGAATACGCAAACGATTCGATGACGAAAGTTGTTCATGCTAGAGGTACAGATTTACTCTATCGTTAAATTCGTCTTTAGAATAAAAAAAGAAAAAGAAAAACAAAAATCGAAATTAAAAAAGTTTTATGTTAAATATGGCGTTTCAAACAATAGTCTGGTGAAGTGAGTGTCTCTCTCCGAAAAGCGGGACCGAGCCTGTCCCGCGCGGGACATTTAAATTTGATAAAAAAATCGGGACGTCCCGCCAAAATCGGGACGTCTGGCAACGCTGGTTCGTATGCTGAAGAGGTTATATCCATTCAAATATAACATTGAAAAATATCAAAAACACCTATGTGTTCCATACAAAAAAATCGATTGATTTAACCAAACAGTGGTTTCTTGATTCAAAAGCAGATTTTATTTCTCGCTGTCACCATCACCATTGATTTCATAGTAGAAGTGGTTCATGGATTCATGATCAAGAATAGTACATTGAAAAGTGCCAACTGCTTCTTGTAGTAACTTGTACACCCAAATATAAGCTACATAATGATAGTAGTAATTTCAATATATAATATCTTCTTTCTACTTCGTTATTAATCTGTTAAAACATATTTGCGCGGTACCTTTATTGTACATTATCAGCAGCACCAAAAACCATCTCGGACTGTAGTAATATGTGTTATAATTTGTCCACAGTACTCGGCCATTCGGATAGGGCCGGTGGTAAAGCGCGACGTGATGAAGGCATCCGCCATGTTGGAGCATGACTCGCAGTACGCCACCATATTGGCTTTCGATGTCAAGGTACGTTATATTGTTTGAATACTTACGACGCTAACACACTTTGAATGTAACACTTACGAAAAAAATTTCACGTAAAAGTATCTATGATTCATTGTTTTGTTACTTACCACCGCTGAAACTTCTGTGTAACTAGGATTTAAAGCTTATTTTAATAGTTCAATATAGGTTGTCCCTTTAGGTCATTCACAGCCTGAGAAGTTTAGCATCTTTTACACCCTTTAAAGCACAAATTACTAGAAGTAACCCCTCGAGCTAAGCTAAAAATATGCCTGTGTTACGAGAAGGCTCACCACAATAGTCTAGTGGCAATGGGTTTCGAAGTACCGACCCTCAAATCGGCAGTCTGACATTGACACTGTTTACCTATTTTCACGGGACTATTCCCACCGCTGCAACTCCTGTGCAGCCAGGATCTTGACGGCCAATGAAAACCCAACTAACCGTTGAAATATTGTCACCTAAATTATGTTGTGTACAGATCGAACGCGATGCCCAAGAGTTGGCCGACCAGTTAGGCGTGAAGATATTCGCAGCAGACATCATCTACCACCTGTTCGACAAGTTCATGGCCTACCGCGAGGAGCTGAAGCAGAGGAAGCGCGAGGAGTTCAAGCACATCGCCGTCTTCCCCTGCAAGCTTAAGGTCAGTCATCATCATCATCATCATCATCATAGATATTCGCAGCAGACATCATCTACCACCTGTTCGACAAGTTCATGGCCTACCGCGAGGAGCTGAAGCAGCGGAAGCGCGAGGAGTTCAAGCACATCGCCGTCTTCCCTTGCAAGCTTAAGGTCAGTCATCAGTCATCATCATCATCATAGATATTCGCGGGGGACATCATCTACCACCTGTTCGACAAGTTCATGGCCTACCGCGAGGAGCTGAAGCAGCGGAAGCGCGAGGAGTTCAAGCACATCGCCGTCTTCCCCTGCAAGCTTAAGGTCAGTCATCATCATCACCATCATAATAGATATTCGCAGCAGACATCATCTACCACCTGTTCGACAAGTTCATGGCCTACCGCGAGGAGCTGAAGCAGCGGAAGCGCGAGGAGTTCAAGCACATCGCCGTCTTCCCTTGCAAGCTTAAGGTCAGTCATCAGTCATCATCATCATCATAGATATTCGCGGGGGACATCATCTACCACCTGTTCGACAAGTTCATGGCCTACCGCGAGGAGCTGAAGCAGCGGAAGCGCGAGGAGTTCAAGCACATCGCCGTCTTCCCTTGCAAGCTTAAGGTCAGTCATCAGTCATCATCATCATCATAGATATTCGCGGGGGACATCATCTACCACCTGTTCGATAAGTTCATGGCCTACCGCGAGGAGCTGAAGCAGCGGAAGCGCGAGGAGTTCAAGCACATCGCCGTCTTCCCTTGCAAGCTTAAGGTCAGTCATCATCATCATCCTTTGTCTTCTTTCATCATCATCATAGATATTCGCAGCAGACATCATCTACCACCTGTTCGACAAGTTCATGGCCTACCGCGAGGAGCTCAAGCAGAGGAAGCGCGAGGAGTTCAAGCACATCGCCGTCTTCGCCTGCAAGCTTAAGGTAAAATCATCATTATCACCATGATCATCATCAGCCGTAGCAGTAGCATCGACATTTGTTCGACCTGGGAGACCTTTTTACCTTCCTATGTGCCAAATCTTGATAAAAATTGAATAAAGACATTTAATTTCTTTGATCATCATAAACATCGTCATTCGTTTTTCATCGTAGTCAGAAAACAAATCAAATCAAATTTCTTTATTTGCGTAATTCTAGGTACATAAGTGGTCTTACATAGATTTAAACTTCTACTTTGCTTGAGTCTAGGTTTTGACAATTTGGTCTCACACGGTACATAACTGTGAAAGAATGATTTCCAATTTGGCCTGAAATAGAAATTCATTGGTCGAATTTATATTTCAGGCAACCATTTAGAGGGTTCCTACAAGAAAAATGCTTTGATCTGATGCCTCGCCTTTGCTAACTCAGTTCCTATGCACTGTTCAGTCCCTCAATACCGATACCTATACGCTACAATTCACTGGCATTGACATTGTATGTTTTTAACAGATCCTGCCACAATTCGTGTTCAACTCGCGTGACCCGATCGTGGCTGGCGTGATGGTAGAGGCAGGCATTGTCAAGGAGGGCACTCCCATCTGTGTGCCCAGCAAAGAGGTAAGCTGAGTAGAGAGGTATGGGTAATTATGGAAAAAATGTTATTAACTTATTAATAGGGATGATATAGGAATAATATTATACCGGTTTCGGTTACGGTTATGGATATTTTTTTATTTCGGATATCTGAAAGTTTCGGTTACGGTTACGGATATTACGCTTTAGAATGCAATTTACAATAGTTGTCCAACACGGTTCATTCATGGCCGCACACTTTACATCGATGGCATTATAAAGGTAAATCAGGCTGTTATGCCTTTACATAATTATAATGCTATACAAAAAACAATTTCATCTGCCTACATCCGAAACATTTGAATCTGTTATGGTTATGGATTCGGATATTTTTTTATTACGGATATCCGAAAGTTTTGGTTACGGTTACGGATATCCATAACATCTCTGCTTATTAACTTTATGAATTACTCTGTATGGTATACGAATATTTTCCCATATTTTTTTTTACTTGTTCCCTTATATCTCATAGCATAGAATCCCTTAACAATGAAAAATGAAAATTGTAATGAACGGACAGAGGCTGAAGAGAAACTTTGTTGACTAAGACGTCATGATATTGCTCACTCTAAATCCTTAAATAAGATATAAATTCTTTGATCAATATTCGGCAATATTGTGTAGAGAAATTCTGGGAAATATTGTTACTTATTGTTCTTTATTGGTGACTAGCTTTTGGATAAAATATTATGGATAGTCGACTGCACATCAGACAAGATTTTAGTCACAAAATCTAAACTTTAGACTAGAGTTTCGTAAAAAGATGCTGAAGCCTAGTTCTGTTGTTATTTTGTCCAGTTGTTTTCCTCCATTTACATTATCTTGGTTGTTCAAACTTACACGAAGACTTTGTTCGAAATAGCACTTACAAGACACTTTTCCCACAGTTTGTGGAGCTGGGAGTGGTGACGTCAATCGAAAGCAACCACAAGCAAGTGGAATCGGCCCGCAAGGGGCAAGAGGTGTGCATCAAGATCGAACCCATACCCGGCGAGTCGCCCAAGATGTTCGGCAGACACTTCGACGAGACAGATTTCCTAGTCAGCAAGGTAAGTTGTGTATTTTTAACCTTATTGAGAAAGCAAGAAGATCGAGTTTGAATTTACTCTTTTGTGCTATTTAGGATCGTTATTCAAAAAATACAGATTCTATTACAGGCGATTACGAATGTCATAACAGTCAAAATGCTCAAAAGCACATGACTGAGCCAGTGCCGGAGAGGGTGTTTTTGTGACGTCAAACATCAGCGAGACTTCAGATATATGCTTCAGACTTGTATGTGTCAACGTGAAATTGTGAACTCTGTCAGTTTATAATATAACCCGTTAGATTGTAAACTAACAGTGGGTTAGGTTAGGTTAGATTGTAATTTAACTACGTCACATTATAATCTGACGGAATTCACAATTTTACGGTGACATATGCTTTGTCACGTTATATGTCACCCCGCTCCCATACGTCCGACACTGACTCAGCTATGCACTAACTAGACATGTAATATTACGGTAAAGGTGAAACTGTACGATATGAAATAGTGTTGTTTTTCAAGCATGCTCTCTATGTCTCTTTTCTCCGTTTTAGAATTGGTAATATTACCATATTCTGCTTACTTGTCAAATAATACTCAGGTATTTATTCCCGACTGCAGGAAGTTAATTAATTTGCAGCAACCATAACAGAAAAAGGCCTTGGCTGTGTGCCCATGAAACTTATCGTCCATCGCTTTTTCATCGTACAAATTATAAAGCTGATTCATTCACGTAAATTCTGCTACTCGATTGCTAATATTCGGTAATTGGATAGTTGAATGATGGAGAGTCCATTGGAGAGTCTCCTCTTTTAAGCTGTCAAAACGCGGTGCCCCTCTAACTGTTTACAAATCAATCAGTGACGTCATGTGTATGTCACATATTTTCTTATTGATTTCAACAATATAATTTTATATCAACATTTATAAAAGTGAAAGGTCACTGACTCACTCACTTATCACGAAATCCCAGAAACTACAAGTGTTAAGTCTCAAATTTTGCATGGGGGTTCCTTTTGGAACGTACATCATCATCATCATCATCATCATCAATATACAAATATTTGGGTATTTAGGATTAAGATGAACGAAATGAGTTATTGGTTAGAACTCTATCTTGGCGTTTAATATGTTGCTAAGCCCACAGTAATATTCATCGTAAACAGTAAAACTAGCTCGTAAAATAACATAACATTAATTTACCGGTCAGAGGTGTTTGAGAAAGCTATCTTTTATGATTTCAATTTAATTTTATTGAGACCTCGGGTCAAAATATCGTCGAAATGGCTCGCGATTTTAAAGAACCTTGACGTGACCTTAACCTGCCGGTTGATCTTGACTCCGTAACAATATCCGACGCGAAAGTTGCCCGAGCAAGGAGATTAATCAGTAGAAAGCTTGATTGAATATGATAAATTGATTTAGAAAAAAGACTTGATGTTATTTCACATTTATTTATAAACTTTAAGCCTATTTGTTATTGCGATTTCGTTATTATCAATCGATGGTATGAATCTACGTAGTTAGCCCCACAGAATAAACAGTAGCACCGCTTACTGGAATTTCTGTTTGACCTGAAATATTGAATGTCATATGGCATTAAGTTAGTCTTTTGTAACCTGTTCAATGTACAAATAAGTTTTAGGCTACGTGGAAATCTAAAATCCCATCAAAAACAATACTTGTCAAAAAAACCAAGTCTCGCAACTCAGTTGTTCTACGGTAAAAAGTTGTGAGATCCATGTAATACCAAGTCCAGGCCAGGAAATCTTTAACGTTTTACATAAATTATTGACTTGGCCATCGCACTAAATAATTTAATTTACACGTGTTTTCATGCGATGGCCAAGTCAATAATTTATGTAAAACGTTAAAGATTTCCTGGCCTGGACTACATGGTATGGACTGCATGGTGGTATTACATGGATCTCACAACTTTTTACCGTAGAACAACTGAGTTGCGAGACTTGGTTTTTCTGACAAGTATTGTTTTTGATGGGATCTGTTAGGATTATATTATCTTTGGAAGTGTATTAAATATTAAAAAGTTAACTGTTTCCGGTAGAACGCTCTTCCCTCTTCCGGCTATGTACGAACAAGATGTGTCTGTGTAAGAACCCGAATAATAAATGCTTATCTCGCTAACTATCGGTCTTTTCATTAAAGAAACACAAGTTCTGATAGGTTATGGGCCCAGACGCCCGTTAGTTAGAGTTAGGGAAAGTTTTAATTGTAGATTATTCGGGAAAAAGCGGATTTGTGAAATATAAAAATGGCGATGTCAAGTAGTAACACGCCGCTACCGCAATTGAGTGCAGGGGCATACGACAACTGGGTTTTCAGGATAAAATGCATACTCGCAGAAAAAGGTCTAACAGAAGTTTTGGATATAAAGAAAANAACACTACTTATATTCCAAATTTGAAGCTTCTAGGTCTTCTAGAAGTGCCTTAGAGTTTTGATGATCGGTGAGTCAGTCAGTGAGTGACAAAATTAAGAAACTTTGACCCGTTATAATTCTTAAACTACTGGTTCAAATTGAATGAAATTTGAAATATACCGTGTCTTTACAATGCCTGCATGGTTACTGAAAATTCAGTCTTCTAGTTTTATCCACAACGAAGTTACAGGGGGTCGAAAATGGCCTGAATTGCTTCGAGAAAAGGATGGTACGGCCGTGCCGCTTTTTTGCTCGACTGGTTGGGGGCACTGCCGTGCTCCCAGATAGAAAATACTAGGTTCTCTAATACAGTTCTAAAATACGATTTGGTCCCTCCATTAACTTTATATGTAGTTATTTATGGCTTCAATTCAATTGAGTGTTGATGTTCACATTAACGTCTCTTTAACTGCATGCTCTTCCATTTGACATTTCTAATTAAACTGTACCGTGCGCAATAGATCAGCGATTACAAAGTAGTATTCAATGCTGCATAGACGGACGACATTGATTTTAAAGCAAACCAGAATTCATTTGTTTGATGAGATTGAAAATTGATTCCAGTAAGCCTAGGCGCAGACCATCGGTTTTTCGTCGGCCGATAGTTTAGTCGGGCAGTTGATCAGTATGGGCATATATGGAAGTGCGCACTACACCGAATTGATTTGGCCGATTCTTCATACAAATTAAAATCGGGCCCAACTATCGGCCAACTAAAAATCGGTGGTCTGCGCCTATGCTAAATAAGCTTTGAAAAACCAATAAATCAAATTCGCTTCTTTGAAGTTCTTTCGAGCAGCATCGTGCGTTTTTTGCATGTAAAAAATTGCGCTACCAAGCGCAGACTAAACATTTTACCGGCTGTGTGAGCGGCCGCCATGATACGATTAATGAATGGCCCTCATTGTGCGATTAGACTATTTTCGCGAGCTAGACAAATGTGCCGATTGACACGCGCTATTATTAGAAACACCGCGCCGTAGGATTATTTACTTGTCCTGCACCTCAGCAAATGTTAGCATTCGAGAATAGAACGGAAACAGTGTGTCGTGGTTGTGTATATTTTGTTGCGATACGAGTATACACCGTCGGAGGCGATATTTGTTTGTGAAATGTACGCAAACTGCAAACGTATTGGCCGGCTATCGCGTGTGTGCTTGCGGACAGGTTTACAAAGACTGCCGTGTTAAAATGTATTTCGCGATGTGTTGATAAAGTTGAACGCGTGCTTTGTTCGGTTGCTACGCGCGAACTTGACAAACGAGTCAAAGGTCCACTATTGAAACTTTAATATATTCAAGAGTGAAAATTCCAACCGATTCCGATAGATTATTATTTTGGACAGATTGTCAGATTATTTTGCAACTTATATCTCATTTTAATCCGTATTCAATGCAAATTCATTTTAGAGTGCATTGCCAACACACATAAGTAGTAAAGCAACGGTCTATAAATCTCTCGCTGTCGAGCTTAAGGCCTTGAAATCTAGCCATCAGTTCAGAAACATGTTCCATTTTTGACTAAACCACACTTGCCAACAACATGCGATTTCTAGTTCGCGCGATCTCCCCGGCTATTGTGTCCATTAAAGTAAACATTCGAAATAGAACCTCTAAATTTGGAATTTATACAAAAATAACATAATAATTTTAACCAACCAAGACGAGGCTGCTAACGAGCTGTGTAACCGGCTCGAGATGGCAAGATTACCGGCATTTACAAGCCTCTGTTTAAAGCTTTCATTGAACTCTGAACTAACAGTGTTTATCAAAGAACTGTTAAAGATAATGCGCTTCCGTGTGCATTGTTCTCTGGTATCGGATTAACAGCTATTCTCCCACTAGGCTCCGTTCAGACCCCATCGATGTTTCCATTCACGAGTGCAAATCCGCAGCATGAATGCAAACTGGCAGTTGTATCAATGGCGCCCCTTCCCTTGCCTTCATTGATCGCTGCAGCGGGCGGGGGACAGGTCACTAGGTCGAGGGAACTGACACTCGCGGGGTAGGGGGACGGGGCACCAATTCTTAATAGGCGAGGACACTGTTGCTAAGTAACGTATTTTTTTTCTATACGTATGCTAATACGGTCAGCGGAATCGCCTAACGAATTACTCGACTTTCGATGGCCATGATAACGTCAACGATTTAGTGAGGATGTTGGTGGAAGTTGATAATTACAGAGATTTGTAATGGCGATTAATCTACTTTTTAGCATTGCGTGGATTGTAAAATAGAGATTTTTTGTCCTAAACACTAATCATTGAATGATAGAAAGTGACTATCGACGCTGATAGATATTTACGATGTTTTTTGCTTGAAAGAAACATCAGTGGTCATCAATATAGAAGTTAGTAGCAGTAATTCAGAAAGACGTTTTATAAATTGAGTGGTTACTATAGTTTAAGTGATAGAGGGCGTAGTATTCTATGTTCGCACGCAGCTTTCTTTAAATGTCTACTGCACTTTTTTGCCTTCTGAGTCCGAGTTATACTTTTATACAAAATAATGATGTATCAGGGTCTAAGCCTACAATAAAATTCCCCACATTCATTGGACCATTTCCATAGCCGTATCAACATCACATGACGTTGATTTCCTAATTATGCGAACAATTTTTAATTGATGACATCCTCGTGACACGTACTTACCACGTCCCCATCGTGTTTAATCTCCCATCCAGCACTTAGAGCGTGTGAACTCGCCGCTTTTCCGTCAACCGTACGAAGGCCGCGGTATTTTCGGCCGTGTGACGTCACGCTTTCCATGCGCGTGCGACTCTAGGGATGCGATGTTGGGAAAACACGATGTTGTTTTTGTTGTTTACATCGATAGCCAATCGTAGATTCGAGGGGAAGGAAAAAAACAAATCGGTTTCAAGACATCATGACATCCAGACATCCAAACTTTCGCATTGATAATATTAGTAGGATGTCGGCTGCACAGAACACATCTACTCTGATGAAGCGTAGACAATTAATTGGATTATATGGCGATTATATCCAAAGGGTCGGGCCTTATGTTTCTAATAGCAATAGAACTTAGTAGTTATAGCACATCTGTAATAATGATATCCTCGCATCGGATGTTACTTTATACAATTGTATTTCTGTCACACCGTAATTTGTATGCATGCGCTTCGCCGAGAGCCAAAACCCTATATCTATGGCCTATCGATGTTCCTATACTTATCGTCTCCAGCCAATATCGATGCATCTCGATCATCCCTAATCGAGTGTTGTCCGCAACATAACTCCAGTCGGAATGCCCCTTGACTTAACACGTCTCATTTGAATCGAAAATAAACCACTGTCACTTCCGTGGACTTCTGTGTTTTATAACGTTGACATATTTCACGGAAATTGGATTGGGATTTTTCCTTTGAACTTCTATCCATTTATTCTACAATCTGTGGTTTTTATGCGGTTTAAATTAATACATGTTAGCCGGAAAAGTGGCGACCAAATTGAAAATTTAAATTCTTTGTTTAATCTCTGTGGTGTATGGTGTCATCCTCGTACGGGTCATTGTAATAATAAAATAGCATAAAACCTAAGGGAGAAAAGTCTTCAAAATTTAAGCTCCTAAATTAGAGGAACACCATCCTTTCTGATATCACTAATAGACCGCATTGATAAATCCATTACAAAATTGGTATGCAAACAAAGCATCATGAAAAAACAACCAAATACACCATGACAATTGCTTCTTTGATAGAAAATTATCTGCTTCAGATCTCTGTTAAACACTATTAAAACATAAAGGGTGTAAATTATAAACAGGAAAAATAAGTTGGGCAATATCGTTAGAAAGCAGATATCAGTATTTTTTGGCACATTCGCTTAAGATCATGGGTGCCATGATCGATGGCTGGTGAGCATTATGCCCACATCAGGGGTGCGCCGTTACGTAACCCTAAACGAGTTTTGATATACACGTTCGTATACGGATAAAGCTTTATCAGGTTAAGTATGACGTCACCACGATGACATTTAGGGCACCCCTGTTGCCCGGTTGTCATCCGAGCTCACCCGTGGTTCTTGTCGTTAAACATATAAAGTTCAGTTTGCTTTATCGCCTCGAGCACACCACAAGCGCACGGGCTTGTGGAGGCTGCACACACGCGCAGTGACCGGGTCAGGACATTCTAGATGCTCCATTGATATTTCGCAGTGCGGTTTCATTGATGAACTTGCGTGCTTTTGCGGAAAAATACGACTATTGTTGTCGTAAAACTGTGATGGTATGGCGGTTTTGTGGGGGCTCTTTGTGAGAGAGAATTATGAATGAAAAATAAAAGTTCTTTGGTACCTTATTTGTTAGTTGTTTCTTTTTTTTGTTGGGAGCATACTGCCTTAAGCGAGTATTTTGAATCTGAAATCTGCTTTAGCTACTCAACCCTGAATAGTTTGGAGAATTATTAAATCTTAAAATCTCTATTAATTCACACTAGATTCATACACACTCTCTCTATCTGAAAAAAGATACATACAAGACCATCAAGGTGTTTCATTATTATCTAATTTAATTGTTGATGCATGTTAAATGCACTTACGAAATGTAAAATTGTATTCAAAAATTCAGCCTAGGAGTTTTCATTCATCTAACCTTGTGGCTAGCTTAGTATACAACTTGAATCAACAGTATATTGCTTTTCCCTTTGTATTTCCGCTGTAATTTCCAAAGACAATTTCACCTGGCCTAGAAAGTGGATTGCCTCCGATGTTTATTGGTGTATACTCTCAACGCATCCTTGATGCTAAAAATAGCCCACTCCGTTTTTCCCTGACAATTGGTAATAGGATTTCCTCGGGCTGCGACCGCGCTCCCGGCGGCCTCGGTCGCTGCACGGGGCGCGGGGTCCCGTGACCCACTTCCCTGCTTGCACAACCTGCTCTATTTTCCCAATGACGTCATAGCCATTCACCCCGAGGTGCTGAATCGATGCGCCCCAAACTGGGTCGACCTGAATGAACCACTCGTGTAATTCAACTTCCACCGCTATTTTTAGGCGACTCAGCTCCCAGGCTCTGGAACCAGTTTTTGCGGATGTCTTGCTTGGCCGCAATTAAATTCTGCGAGCCATGAATTAATTTATGACATTTCGATGGGCTTTGTAATTTGTATTGAATTGAATTTCACTGCGGCTCGATGGCGTGCTGTCCTTATTGCTCTGCCAGTGCTCTTATTTATAATCCTGTTTGAATGTAAAACTCGCTCTTGAGGCATTTTTAGTTTTTTTCTCTCGATCAAATCGTATTCATCTATTTACATGTCGTCGGCGTCGTCGAACAACGTCGTATGATCGCAACCGTCAAAATCTGTTTTTTTGCATTAAACTACTCTAAAATAGCCCCTTTATAAACTAATTTTTTAATTTTTCAAAATTCGTAATAATATCGAAGATACAGAATCGAACGCCGACGGATGTGATTATTCTAACGCAGTACAGAGACGTGTTTGTGCAAGCGTCATTGTACTTCGGAAGACTGCACATCGTTTNACTCGCTTGCTTCAAGTTTGTATTACCTATACTTTGCGGTCAGACGAAGATCGTATCTTTTAATTAAAAGTAATCTTTTACTGGATACTTTGTGGGAACTATCCACAATTTTTACAGGAATCCAACTACTTATGTATGCAAGCAATTAATTGCACTCATTACAATTAACTATGCTTACTAAACGAGTTTTGAATGGTTAAGTAGATCTCGTTAATACAGACTATTTATACGCATATACCATGAACCTTTATGTATGTGTTTTATATTGAAAATCTTTGAACCGTTCATCTTCTTTGTTTTTTTCTTAGGTTTACTCTATTCATCAATACCTTGCATAGTGGCATAAATATTTACAATTGCAAGCGTCTGCCCTTTTCCAATAACATAATTCATACCTACCATTGTTTACATACATTCAATTTACAATTGTTTTGTTTTCATTCAATTGTTCTACTGTAGTTCTTGGTAATGCAAACTATGATGATACTATGACGCATAGATGAGATTTAATATACCTGCAATAAGTGTTAACCTGACCTATATACCATTCTTCTTAAATATCTATCTAGGTAACAAAACTTAAACTTATCAGGGTAGGCACTGGAAACCTATTACGCATCTTTGGAAATAGGTTTTCCCGAAGAGTGCGAATGATGGACTGATATTGGACCAGCAATAGTTTTTTTTTCGCGATATTCGAGCTGCGTCGTGGAGGTCAATAAATTAATACGATGTTTATTTGTTTCAGATATCTCGTGCAAGTATCGACGCCTGCAAAGACTACTTCAGAGACGACCTGGTGAAGACCGATTGGCAACTCATGGTGGAACTCAAGAAACTCTTCCAGATACTTTAACCTGCCTCTCTAAACTTGGAAAATTCACTCATCGTCTTTTATGACGTGTTTATTTATCCAAACCCTTGAACCCCACTGTCTATTCCATCTAACCCTGTACCCTCCGTATCACAAGAATCTCATGGTACTTCTGTTTTGTATCTAGCCATGATCGTAGACGAGTATAACCTACGTCATATCGGAGCGCCCATTTTGTTCTTTTAAAATTGTTTTTTCTACTGCCATGTTTTAAAAACAGAAGAAGTGTCGAATTATTTACACAGTCTATCATGAGAGATTGTAAATAGTATTATACACAATTTATTTATTATGAAGATGTCGATTTTATTTCAACCTTTGTTATCTTTTTGGACCTTAGTTGCTTTCCTATCAACATCACAGTTTTGTACACGTGTTTAATACCACTTCATCTGTAAATATTCATATGAGTTTGCAATAAAATTTTGTAGTTGTATGTAAATAAACCTTGAGAAAATTGTCGCAACTGTCCTTACTATGTAACCCATTAGTGCAATAAACGATCTCGTATATAACGAATGTGTCTTTCGTAGGGCAATATCTGTTTTTCTACGGTGCTTCTAACGTAGTTGAATTTTACCGAACTTTTATGATATTCAATCGATGTATTAATGTAGTTCGTACATTATTCCGTGTTCTATTGGGGTCGCTAAAGGCACTAGCTGGGAGGTCGTCTATTGTACCGCAGCCGACACGACGTCAGCCAATGTCAGCGTGTTAGGGCATTTGAGTCCGTGGTGAAGATGCAGAAGGTTGTATTTTATATGTAGGTATTTTCCCTTTTTGAAATGCTTTGTATTATATAGATGGAATCGGACATATTCTTATATTGAAGAAATTTTATTAAATTACTTAATACGTATTTTGGTTTTTATTTTACTTCCAGGACCTTTTTCAGAAATCTTACGAAAGCTTAATCGAATTATAAATCGATTTAGAACCCATGGTTGTGACTTCAGTTGGTTCAATCCCAACGATAGAAGAAGTCTATTGATGTTATATGTTGGACAGACACTGCCTAATAGTATAGTGGTATTCTACCTTATTCTACCTAGCGGTGGTATTGTGTTAGCTACACTTACCTACCTATCGTAGTTATATCAATATCAGCACAATGACAATACATCGTTAGATTCAGCAAACAATGAGTTGTATGCAAAGCGAGCTTCGCATGAACATCGCTTCGGTTCTTGTAAACATGTTGCAGTTCTTGTAATGTCACATGGTTTTTTGTCACCATAAATAGAAAACAATACCCAGTGCTACAGACATGTTTTAAATAATGTAATGATGGTATTGATTTTCAGACCATCATCAATGTAAGTATAATTCACGTAATACATAAAAACATGGAATGACTTGCCAAGCAACTGCACTCAGGAGGATTTGATGAGTGCTGCTGACAATGCCACTCTTGTGGCCGAGTTTTGGGCTGACACTGTGTAGGTTTATTGTCGACACGAAAAGAAGAAGAACACTGCTTGCTCTTGTATTAATAAATTCGTTAATTACGCAAAACAGAGTTGTCGAAAACTGAAATAGCTGAAAACTAGAACAGTTTTTCACAAAATAAAGTTACCTACCTACTTAAGTAAGTATTCAACTTCAACTGATACTTATTTACACATCTTACACTTACGCCCGTATTCACAAACATTACTATGAGGTCTCACAGTGCGCGTGGACGCACAGGGTGACACGAACCAATCACATAGCTCTATTCAACGCTGTGCGTTCGATATGCTGCTTCACTCAAGCAAGCGTCGTTTGTGAATACGGGTGTTAGATGTTTTTCAATTGAAAGCTACATTTTCATGAATTTTAATATCGACTGAGTTTCTTGCGCTGTTTATCCAATCCTAAGGCTGGGTTGCGCCATCTTACTTTAACTTTGACAAACGTCAAGTCAAACTCCATACAAAAAACACCGGTTATCGTTATAGTTACGGTCAGTTAGGTGGTGTAAGTCAGCCTTATTGTCCCGTAGCAGTGGTAGGTTTAAAGCACAAATATTGGGACGCGTAAAAGCGCTTTTTAAAAGCTTACTTGCAAAAAATAAATGAGTTTTAAAGTAATATAAGGGGTTAATATAAGTACGAGTAGGTATCAATGTTACCTACTTTTCTCTATCTTGTTGTTTTTCTCTACCTTGCCAATAAAAAAGGGTTAGGTAAGTAATTGTCCTCGGAAGTTACAGAATGTTGCAGTTCCATCAAGATAAGTTTATAGGTGATTCTCGAACGTTGTATTTAACAACATCCCCGTGACTGAATATCGAATTTAGGTAAGAGGAAATGTACCTAGGTTTATTTATAGATGAGACCTAGTACGCATGATAGGATAGGTGGGTTACCCGGGATACCGTTATTGATTACCGATGCATGGGCGGTGCATATTCGGATAGCTACGGATATTGTTGCCTAGTGTAACATAATTTGGAGCGAAGTTAAAGCTGGGAAATTGGCTGGAGACATTTTCGGATGGAGGTGGGATGTATTTTGTAGAGTTATGTTATAATTGATATGTCATACCTATTGTCGCATTAGCATAATCGTGAAAACTACCAAAACAAATTATTATATGATAGCTGTTTTTATTTTAAACGTACCTAATAAAAAAACACGGATTTTCAAAATTATTTGAATGAGAGGTCTATCAATTTGAATGAAAATATGTGGATAGTAGAGCCAATTTGTTCGGCTAGTAAATACACCCACAGCCAATAGTTCAGTACATACTATAGGACTAGGTACATACAATACATGCTATATGAAATTAATTAAATTCAAATGGATTAGTCAACAATCTGCCATTAGCATAATATCTAAATGGAAGTTATAGCATGAAATGCAATGCCTCTATTATCTTAATAGCTAGTTTATTAAGTAGTTATCGCGTGGAGCTTAGGATGACTTAACAAGCTGGGCCCACCCAGGTTGGCCATGTTTGCCATCAATATGATCCGGAAGGTCATCATGCCCCATACCATGCCCCTGAGAGACCAATGCCGGGCCAGCTTGAGCTGACTGGGAGGGGCGAGCCTTTAGGTACCGCTCCACTTTCTTAACTGCGTTTCCTTATGCCATGGCATTATGCAATCTTCAATATCTACAGTTTCCTGACAGAAGTTTGTATAAATATTCCTGTCATACATTCTTCGTGGTATCCGTGAATGGTAGGTGAGTGTAACTTAGTGGGATATTGGGTGATTTTGTTGTTTTTTCGCATGCAATTTCAGGCCGTAACTATGGTAACTGAGTCTGTGTGGGTGGAGGGGTGGCGTTTTCAGGGTCTAGGTCACGCCCAGGCGTGCAGCGCGCAGGCGCGGGCTTCCAAGCTCAAGCAGGAACCGCCGAGCCTCAGAGCTGAGGTTCCTCGGAGCCATGCCGCTTTAGCCCACCTCCGGTAGGGCTGGGAGCCCGCGACCGCTAAGAACCAGTGTGCAAGTGAAGTAAAAGTGCAGTCTTAAAACACCGTATCCGAAAATAAAATCAGTGTGTAACAGTCGAGAAAAAATTGCAATCTATAAAGACCGCATCCGAAATTAGAAACAGTGTGCAAAGGTAAAAATATTGCAACTATAAAGACCGCATCTTAAAAAACTCAGTGTGCAAAAATCAAGAGAAAGTCGCAATCTAAAATTGTAAATAAGTATATCAAGTGTAATAAATGAAGTGATCCAATCTCATGTGACAATAGTGATAAAAACATAAGTGTAAAAGAAAATACATTTTTAAGTGTTAGATTAAATTAAAGTGTAGGAATTCTAAATTGAAGTAGGTAACTTCGTAACGTAGATTATTAAAAAAAAAATTATTTCGTCCAAATAGTGTTACTTAGTTAAATTATTTAATAAAATATTAGAACCTACACGAAAGACTTATACGCTACACAATTTTACTGACGATGTTTCAGGTAAGAACTTTTTGTAATTAATTTAGAATTTAATAATTCTATGCTTTTATTTGGGATGTTATTGTCCTGAAATACACATACTCCAACCGTTTAATTATCTGCAGAAGCAATAAAACACTCGTAAATTATTACATTCTTAATAAATATACCTAATCGTGCCATAATTAAAAAATAGTTTGATATCATTAAATATAAGGCATCATATTACGAAACTACACAATCGAATTCCAACGATATGGTACACAAGTGGATGGGGAACGACTTTTTGGACCGGTTATTATACTTTACATAAATACAATTTAAATATCAATGGCCTATAGATATGGCAATAGGCTTGTCACCTGTCATGTTTGGGCCATTCTCCTTAACGAACATCAGAATACCTCTGATGAGGTCTTCCCACTTATTTCTCAGAGCAAACAGTTACCGCTCTACTTCATAGAGTTATTAACTCTATGCTCTACTTACATGAACTACAACTAATTCAAAAGCCGACTTTTGCCGAAATAAAACAAATGATTGAAGAAAAATACTTGTAACAATGCGATTAAGAATACCTAGGTACCTACCTACTTAGTACGCCTGAAAAAGAAAATTCGGCTTCAAAATACAAGAATGTCAACAACACAAGAAAATTTAAAAAGGATCTTCCTTTATTTTGCTATTTTTTCTACCCATCCGCTAGTGAGTTTTATTTCGAGGTAGGCAGTAGATAAAGTTACCAGACCATTTCACTGACAGAAACTAATAATTTATAAGGTTTTATGAAAATATTTTCCGATACCGCAAATGGTATTTTCCAGTGCTTTTAATAGGCAAAAAGAGGCATGCTGAATCTGAAAAATGTTTGTAATTAAGAAAGAGAAAGAATTTCTAAAATAGTTCCAAGTAAGACTTATTTATTGAGTTTACGTTTGAAGAGTCTTAAAATGAAAATGAAACTTTCAGATTAAGCATACTTTCTACATACAAAAAAAATGTTTCCTGAAAGTAAGCGAGCCGCGTCCGCTGCTATTCTAAAAGTAGAAGACTATTTTGTCATTCACGCAGAGTCACACATGGCTAATTATTTTTCAGCGGCTATCTGAAATTAGATAATCGTCTAGGCCGCGCGTTCGACACAGCCACTATCGGCTAGACGTTTCAGTATTTTTTCGTACACGTGCTCAGCTGCGCTGGCGTCGTTCATTCATGCGTGGAAATGAATGGGGAGCCGGCGTTCAGCGAGCAGTCCGTTCGGCGCATCGGCGCGGACGCCGCGCCCGGCGAACGCAAAGCGACCGCGAGTTACGTGCTGTGCCTGTGTTGTGCGATACCAACTGGGACTACAGAACTACCTGACACTAACACGGATCCTCTCTTGGTATGTCACTACCATATTTCACCTTGAAACCGAATAACCTACCCACTCTTATACTTATCAAACCTCCTAATTGAACATAACTCATAAGCTCTACACCCGTTCCTTTGAATTAATTGGATGACTAGCACCCAATTCATCCCGTTAACTACCGGTAGTCATAGAAATTTCCTGCGATTACTCATTTCGATTACGTACACGTCTTGATCCGGC